TCAGTGCTGACCCCAGTGCGATGCTGTGCTGCAGGGAGCAATGTGGGTAGATCAGTGGGTGATGCTGGGCTGCAGAGAGGGGGCAGGGGCTTAGTATGGGGCACTGTGCTGCGGGGAGAAGTGCGGGCTCCTTGTGCTGCATGGGGTGGCACAGAGGACTCAGTAGGGGGTGCTGGACTGAAGAGAATGGTGCAAGGGGCTCATAGGGAGCCAGATGACAGGGAGAGGGGCATGCGGTCAGGGAGGGGTGCTGTGCAGCAGGGAGCAGGATGGGGGATCTCAGTAGGGGCCCTGTGCTGCAGGGAGTGGGGGGAGCTCAGCAGGGGGTGCTGTGCTGCAATAAGTAGCCATGGGGGGCTCAGCAGGGTGTGCTGCTCTGATTTGCCCCTTTTCCACCCTAGGCTTTCCGGAAGCCCTGCGCCAGGTCCTGCAGCTCCCAGACCCTGTCCGGGCCTCCCCCGAACTCCGCACAGCGCTGGCTGTCAACCAGGCTTACCTGGAGCGCAACTGGGCACGGTTTTTCCGCCTGGTGCAGGCCCTGCCCTACCTGCCGATTTGCGCCCTCCATCGGCACCTGGGCCCTGCCCGGCGCCTGGCACTGCTCACCTTTAGCCACGGCTTCAGTACCAGGAACTGTCGCTGCCCCCTGACCTGGCTCGCCCGGCTTCTGGCAGTGGACGGTCCTGAGGAGATGGCAGAGCTTTGCTGCCATCATGGGCTCATGGTGCTGGATGGAGCCGTGGTCTTCCAGAAAGGAGCTTTCAGGGACCCAGACGTGCTGGTCCACAGCCCCTCGCAGCTGCTAGTGGACAGTAAACGAGGGGAGGCCCCCCTGCTGGAGATCATCGAAGATGCTTGTAGCTAATGGTTTGAAGAGACCTTGGGGTGAGGATGGGAGCCAGGACTCCTGCGTTCCTCTCCCTGGCTCTGGGAGGGGAATGAAGTCTAGTTGGCTGGATTGGGAGTCAGGACTTGTGGGTTTTATTGCTGGCTCTGGGAAGGGCTGAGAGGGAGCCTCCTGTGTTCCTGTCCCTGGCTTCTGCTCCTTGCAGTGAAAGAGGAATCCGGTTTAGAGTAACAGACTGGGAGCCAGGACTCCTGGGTTCTCTTAGTGGCTCGGTCACTGATTCTCTGTGTGTCACCTCCGCCAAGCCACTCCCTTTGCCTCTTTTTCCCCCTGCATAAAAGAGGGTAAAGGAAGTAACTTACCTGTGCCTAGTGCAACTGGATGGCTCTGGGCAATCTTTCTCTGTTGATGGGCTCGGCTTCCTCCATTTGACCCCTTGTGCTGCATAATTTGTCTTGCCCCTCCTCCCCGCCCCTCGTGGGTTTGCGATTCAGGAAGCTGGCTTGGATCTTGGGGTTTGTGAGAGTTGGTTTGGGTCTGAGCTTTGGTGTGATGGTTTTGGGTCCCCGATCCACATGGCGGGGAGCTGTATGGAATGTCAGCCAGTGTCCCCTGCCCCAGGCGGGAGGTTGTGGGAGATGTAGGACACAGCCCAGAGCGCCCCTGGAATTTTGGGATGTCTGAAGGGAGTAGAAGTCAGTTTTACAATAAATGTTGATTTGTAAGAGGTTGTGGGTCTGTGCAGTGGCAAATTAGCCAATGGGCCCATAGCACCCCTGCCCAGGGGCCCTGGCCAATTGGGGAGCCCCACCCCCAGCAGACAAGCACTGAGGTGGGGCTGGGTGAGTCGCAGTGCCGGGCAGGGCAGGAGAAGACCTAGCATCCTCACCCTGGCTGCAGCCCCAGGACTGGAGGAGCTCTGGTTCCCTGCTGTGGCCTCTGGGCTGGGGGGAGCTCTCACTTCCTGCTGTGGCCCTAGCGGGGGGTGGAGGGTAGACAGCACTTACAGCAGCTGAGCCGAAGGGGGGAGTGGGCACCGCGGGGGGGACTGGACAGGGCACAAGATGTGAGGCTGTGGGCGGAGCCACAGGTGGAACAGGAACGGGACCACAGGCAGAAGCTATGGGGAGTGGGCCCCCTACTTGCTCTGGCTCAGGGCACCACGAAACCTTAATCCACCTCTGTCTGTGGTGTGGTCCTGCCATGCTGGAGCATTGTGTTAATGTCTAGGGGGACTGAGTATGTAGCGTTCTGAGGCAGTGCGTGGGGGGAAGTGAGTGAATCATTGGGGATAAATGGGGGGTTGTGTTTATCTAGGGGTATTGTGTGTGGTTGCCTTGTGTGTATGTGGGGAGTCATGGTGTTACTGGGGGATGGGTTGTGTGTGAGGTTTCTCAAGTGGGGGCGTTATGAGGCAGGGTCTCTGTGTGTGTGTGTGTGTGTGTGAATTTGAGTGTGGAATGGGGGTTGTGTGTGATGTCTGAGAGTTGGGATGCACACGCGTCCTTGCCAGAGGATCTCAGAGAGGAGAGTAGGGACTAGTGGTTTAGCGTGGGGGGAGGGCTGGGGCGGGAGCTAGGACTCCTGGGTTCTATCCCTAGCTCTGGGAATGGGATGGGAATCCCAAATCTTGGCAGAGTTTAAAATGACCCAGGTTTTTGAGACTAAAGCCCGAGGCCTGCTCATCTGGGGGGTAGTGCGCCCTGCAGGATGCCCACCAGAAGCATAGTTGGATGCCAGAAAAGAGAGCCATGCACCTAGGCCGATGGTTGGGATAGAACATTTTCCTTTGTGCTTTGTTCCTGTGGTTCAGTAATTGATACCTGGGTTTGACGAAGGCTCTTAGGGGTAGCTGTAACCCACTAGTTACAAAAAGAAAAGGAGTACTTGTGGCACCTTAGAGACTAACCAATTTATTTGCGCATAAGCTTTTGTGAGCTACAGCTCACTTCATCGGATGCTGTAGCTCATGAAAGCTTATGCTCAAATAAATTGGTTAGTCTTTAAGGTGCCACAAGTACTCCTTTTCTTTTTGCGAATACAGACTAACACGGCTGTTACTCTGAAACCACTAGTTACAGGCTCCCAGAGGGAAGATCTGCTGGTACCTGAACACAGCAGGCCCGGGATGGGCCCAGATGTAGCCCAGCACCCAGGCCAAGAGTAGGAGAATCACAAGATTCCTCCTTGAGAGAGGCGAAGGCCAGAGACCTGAGGAGGTTGTGCTCATACAGAAAAGGGGTTTCCCACTGTTTCCCGTTTCCTACTCCCCGCCTCCTGGAGCCTGCTGGTCTCCCTGGCCTGGGGCCAGATCAGAGCCAGTTCCCCTTGGAGAGGAAAGGCCCTTTGTCCCATTCCTCACACCCATGATCTAGCCAGTCCCCCTACCTGGGGCTGGATCAGAGCCACTGCCCCAAAATGGGGATGGGGAAAGGCTTGTGTCCCATTCCCCAACCCCCTAAACCAGCCAGTCTATCTGCTGTAAGGCCAGATTTGAGCTAGGCCCCCTATAGGGGAAAAGCCCCATATCCTATCCCCAAGCCCCCCTGAGCTAGCCAGGCCCCCAGTCCTGGGACTAGATTGGAGTTGATGCCCCTTATGGGGGACAGACCCCATGTTCCATTTCCTGCCCGGTGGCTGGATCGGAGCTGATGTCCCCTAAAGAGGGAAGGACCTACCCCTCTGAGCCAGCTGGTCCCCCTCACCTGGGGCTGGATGGAAGCCAGTGCCCCCTAGAGGTGAAAGGTGCTGTATCCTATTCCCAGGCCTCCTGAGCCTACCAGTCTCCCACTCAGGCCAGACTGGAGCTAGCTAGCACCATCTAGGAAAAAACCCATGTCCCATTCCCAGGCACCCTTGTGTATACCCAGGATGGGTGGGGGGTGTCTATAACTCAGAATCCGACAGCCTGAGAATCTGGGCTGTGTTTATTTCCCTGCAAGGTGCCTCTCCCTCCCTCCCCTTTATGGTGTCCAATTAAATCTTAAAACAACTCAGGCAAACACACAGCAGCCTCTCAAGAGGAACTGGAGGCCCATGTTCTCACGGGGCCCAGCTGGGACTGATAAGCTGGGACCTTCCAGCCCCTGGGAAACTCCTGCCCGTGATGTCTGTGACGGGGTAAGTGACAGATCCTCAGGTAATGGATGAGGGGCCTGTCTCTCCCAGGAGATTAATGAATCTGCTTATCTGGAGCTTTTATTAGTCTGGGGAATTTTGCCATCATCAGAGCAGGTGACTCTGTTCCGTAGTGATCCAGATGGGTCACGTCTGCCCTTTAAGGTGGTGCTCCAGGGGCTAGGCTGCTGGCCTGGGACTCAGGACAGCTGGGTTCAATTCCTGGCTCTGCTGCAAATTCTATGGGTGATCATCCACTCTGTGACTCAGGTTGCCTGTCTGACAAATGGGAAGAATAATCCTGCCTTTGTCCATGACTGCAAACTCTTCAGGGCAGGAGACTGTCTCTCACTCTGTGTCTGTGCAGTGCCTGGCCCAAAGGGGACCCCAGTCCCAGCTGCGGATTGTGGAGCACTCAGAACAACAGGGGCCCCAGTCTCAGTCATGGGTCTGTGCAGCACCCAGGATGACAAGGGTTCTGATCCCCATTGTGAGTCTGTACAGTGCCTGGCTCAATGGGTACTGTGTGTCCACACATGAAAACAGCTGGCAGGTCTCTGGTCCCATGGGTCACCTATGGCACTGGTCACAAAGAACCAGGAGGATCTGTCTGCCAGTGTGCAAGGGAGTTTGCCAGTCTGCGCACCTTCCAGAATTGCCCCAGGCAGGGAGCAGATACTGGGTGGGTGAAGGGAATAGGCCCTTAAATACCTTGTGGGCAGAAGAGTGGAGTTTAGTGATTAGAGCGGGGCTGCTGGGAGTCAGGATTTCTATTCCCAGATCCATGGGCGGGGAGGGACTGGGAAGAGCCATGACTTCCCCCCATGCCTCCAGGGGAACAACTCCCTGCACTGGGGTGTGCAACTCTGTGCAAAGACCCTATGGGTCCCTGGAACTCTGCTGTGTCAAAGGGGCATGAAAACAGGCCCTGATAATGCCAGCAAGCAGAAAACAAGAGGCGCGGAGTGGCCGGGGTGGGGGCTGGAGATTAAGGGCTGAATGGAGGCAGTGAATGGGCCAGGCAGCGCGGGGGGGGGGCACAAATCCTTTGGACGCATCGAGACGTGAATATAGGAGCAGACACAGCACTTGTGCCTAAGCCCTGGCCTGCCACCCACGTACGGGGCTGGGTGGTTATTGTGGCGGCCACAGGCCCAGACTAATCCACCCGCATTCCTGATGGGTTGGCTAAAGGCTTCTCCCAGGGTTAACTCATTAAACCAGCCCTGGGGAGTGGGTCTGGGATGAGTGGGGAAGAGACCCTTAAAGACCCTGTGGGCAGGGGAGCAGGGTGGAGCATTGAGGATGGGGGATATGGGAATCAGGACTCCTGGGTTGTGTCCACACCACAGGAATGGGAGTGATGTCTTGTCATTGGAACAGCAGGGCTTGGGAGGCAGGTTCTGTCCCGACTCAGGGAGGGGAGTATTGACAGCTAGATAGTGGGCCCTATGTGAAGCAGTGTGGGTACGCCTGGCTGTGAGCATTGGGTGTGGTTGTGCATGAGGAAGGTGTCTGAATGCGAGTGGGTACATGTGTTTAGGGGAGGGGGTTGTCTGTTTGAACAGCTGCCCCATAAATGTTGCAGTTTTAGGTTGCAATTCCCCCTGTCCCCTTCCCTCCTCCTGGGACTCCACAGATCCCAACCACGTAGGACCCCCCAGACCCTGTTGATTCCCTCCCCCACTGGGGTCACATTGACTGACACACACACTCACTCACTCACTCACTGTGGCCCCTTGGATTCTGGCAGGTCCCTTCCTGCTCCGAGGCTGCCCCGGCTGCCAGCTGCCTGAGGGGAAGTACCGTTGTATTTATGGTGTGATTTACAGCACCCCAGAGTGGCAGCTGGGAGGCGAGGGCTGTAGCCACCTGACTTAGCCAAACGTCTGGGGACTGGAGCAGCTGGGAGCCAGGATTCTTGGGTTCTATCCCAGCTCTGGAAGGGCAGTGAGTTCTAGTGGGACAGGGTCAGGAGTGGGAACTTGGAGTCAGGACACCTGGGTTCTCCCCCCAGCTCTGGGAAGGCAGTGGGGTGTAATGGGTGTTAGAGCAGGGGGGCTGGGAGTCAGGACACCTGGGTTCTCCCCACAGCTCTGGGAGGGGAACAAGGTGTAATGGGTTAGAGTGGGGGGCTGTCAGGATTCCTGGGTTCTCTCCTCAGTTCTGGGAGGGGGGTGGCTTCCTGTGTTCACTTATTTCCTAGCATTTCCTTCTCCCTTAATGGTCTCCAGGACTTGGCTCTTCCTTTTGGCATCTGGGTCCAGCTTGTCCCTCCTCCCACTCTGCCTCAGGATTGACAAGGGGATAACCCTCTGCCCAATCATGGTTCAGCTCCTCCCCTACTACTGGCATTCCCCTCCCCCCACGTGGGGCTGTGTCCCCGTGGTGTGATGTCACCAGAGGAATGACCCAGGTCCTTCCTGGCTCTGTCAATCAGTGTGGCAGAGACTAGCTGGCATCAGGAATCAGGGCTCAGGGGCTCTCCCCAGGGTGGGCACCTGCCAAGCGGTGAGTCAGAATACCATCTGCCCCTGGCACCTGCCTTCAGGTGCCAGCATGGGCAAAAGGGGCAGAGTCAACTGGGGACTTCCAGGGCACCCCAGGGATGCTGGGGAGGAGGGGGAACAGAGGTCATGGGGGTTCAGGAGCAGGGTGGGGAAGTTGAGGGGAGGCAGGGTCTGGGTGAGGAGAAGCTGGAATTGGAATATAAGGGTTGGCATACAGGGAGCAGGGGAAGGCTGGGAGTTGGGTGCAGAGTTTGGATCAGGTGATGCTCAGGGTTTGGGGCCAGGGAAGGTCTGGGGGTGCGGTGCAGGGGGTGAAGCAGGGTTGCAGAGGGGCTGGGGGATTGGGCTAATTAGGGGAGCCAGAGGGGATGCAGGGCTGGGGGGTAGGAAGGTCCGGATTTGGGGTGCAGGAAGAGGTTAGGGGAGAGCTGGGATGGGAAATGCAAGGGAACAGGGAAGGTCTGGGTGGAGGATGTAGAAGGGCTGGAAGGAGGCAGGTTCTGGGTGGGAGGATGTAGAGGGCTGGCTGGGGGGAGACAGGTGGAGGATGCTGCGGGAGGCAGGGCCTGGTTCGGAGGATGCAGGGTGGCAGAAGGGAGGTAGGGGACTTACCTGTTTACTATAAAGTTTAGCCAGAGTGAGAGTCACAGATCCCAGAATCCTGCTGCTGCCCCCCTCCAGCCAACGTCATGGGGGTTGTTAGATGCCCGTTGCCCCATCCTCCTGCTTTCTACCCATAACACAGCCTGTTCCTAGTAGGGGTTTGGGGGGCGGGGGAGGGGGGTGGGAGGAGGAGGGGTTGCACTCTTGTGTCAGGATAAAAACAATGGAGAGCAGCATCCTGGCCCTGAAGGAGTCGGGGAGGGGGGTCTGAGGCGAGGGCTGCGGGGAGGGGGGCAGGGATCTCAGCAGGATGGCCTGCCACAGCCTGGGGCAGCGAGGGGATCACAGCAGAGGAGAGGCGGGGGGAGGGGGGGCTGCTGGAAGGGGGACAGGGCGCTCTCAGAGGGGGAACTGGGAGGTCTGCCATAGCCCAGGCCTGGGTGGATGTGGGGGCAGGGGATGGAGGGTTGGGGGCACTGTGCGTGGTGCAAAACAGGGGGTTGTTAGGTTTGTATCAGGCCCACACGCGTCTGCCTTCTCAGGGAGCAGCCAGAGGCCTGTTTGCTTTGGCCAGAGACCATGGAGGGGAGAGTTTGCTGGGGGCGGGGGGGGGAGAGTGAACCTTTGCTCTAGTGGCACCTCTGCCTACAGCCCTTAAATGGCCCTGCACCCTCCCCTAACCTGTTAGCCCAAGGTCCACCAGCTGGGATCTCTGCATGAGCCAGCTGTATTAACCCCTTCCAACTCCTGCCCCACCTTTAGGTTGGGGTTGAGACAGACCCCACCCCACCACACAGAGCGGGATCCTCTGAGAAAAGCCAAAGAAGGAGCAGGTTGGGGGAGTCAGTAGGGGGCACTCTCCCTTCACCGTCAGTGCCCTAGTGTGTTGCTAGCGGGTGCTGTGCTGCAGGGAGTGGGGCAGGTTCTCAGTAGGGGGACTCTCCCCTGGTATTCAGTGTTGACCCCAATGCCCCAGAGCGGTACTGGGGGCGCTGTGTTGCAGGAGGGAGCACAGTGCACAGCCGGCTCCCCAACTCCCATGTGTCTGATCTTTTTTGCAGACTCCCAACAACGATGTCCTTCTCCGGCACCAATCTCAAGCTGGAGCGGCTAGAGGAGCAGCAGCTGGAGGACCCCGGCTACCAGCTCAGCCTCCAGAACCAACCTAGGGGCTGTGGGGACATGGCGGCCCCTTACCCTGACAGTGATCTCATTTCCCAATGGCTGCGCAGGAGTGTGAAGGCCAAGCTGGTGGAGGCCTGTGACTTGGGCGAGTCTTCCCAGGGGGACGGGGAGGTCCCGGCGAAGAGGGGTCTGGATCCAGAAAGTGCCAAGGACTTTGTCTGGGCTAAGCGGGCCCGGGTAGAGAACATCGTGTGCAGCATCAGCAGCTCATACCGTGATGGGGGCCTGGAAGAAGGAGGCTCTGGGTATGGCCGCTCCCGCCGGGCCCAGGAGCGGAGCCAGCTCAAGCAGCAGCTGGAGAAGATGCGTGAGCAAGTGTTCCAGCTGCAGGAGAAACTGTGCCAGATCTACAGCGGGGTGGCCCAGGAGGAAAGAAGCAACATGGGGGCAGCCTGGTCCCAGGAGCCAAGCAGAGTTGGAGCCAGCACCCGGCATCCTGGGGAAGGGAGTAGGCACCCTGGCACCCTGGCTGAGGCCCTAAAGGAGGAGCTTGGGGCAGCCATGACCCAGGTGGTGGACACGGTCATGCAGGTGTTTGCCCGCCAGCAACCCCCACCGGAGGAGCCCCCCTGCAGTTACCCAAGTGACCAGACAGAGGCACTGCCCCTAGTGGTGAGGAAGAGCTTGCCCCGTGCCCCCCCAGAGCTGGTGGCCAGCACCTTCCCCCAGCCCATGGCTGTGCCCCCATACCTGGCTGCCTTCAAGGACAGAGCAGCAGGAGAGGCCTACTGGGAGAGTGTGAGCCTGCGCACCAAGCTGTCCTCACGCCACCTGCTGCAGCCGCACTGTGCCCTCTTCCAGCTGGCAGAGCCGACTGACCGCCAGCTCCCCAAGAGTCAGGCCACGGAGACGCACCATGGCCAGGAGCCAGCACTCTACAGGCCCTCAATATCCTTTAGTAGCCGGCCAGGACTAGGGTAGAGTGGGGAGAGGATCTGATTCCTGCCCCACACTTCCCTCACACATCCTGCCCCCAACTAACCCACACACATTCACCCCCCACACACACATCCTGTCCCACACTGACCCACGCATACACCCTGCCCACAACTAACCCACACAGGTTCACCCCCTTCAAATGCACCCTGCCCTCCACACTCTGCCCCAAACTAACCCACACACATTCACCCCCATGCACATCCTGACCCACTCACACAGTCTGACCCGCACACACACTAACCCACACACCCTGTCCCCTCCGATCCACACACACTGCCCCCCCAATCCTGCTCCCAACTAGCCCACACACATTCACTCCACACACACAACCTATCCTCCACTGACCCACCACACAACACACTCTGCCCCAAGCCAACCTACACACATTCACCATCCACGCACACACAGTTTCCCATAGACCCACACACGGGCATCCCCTTGCTGAACTCCCACACACTGGCCCCTGCCTCATATACATATACTGACCTGGACATCCACATACAGCCTCTTCCTTCTCCCTCCCCCGGCCCATATGTAGCATACCCACACCCATACACATACTCCTGTCCCCCCACCTCACGCACACCACATACACTCATTGAGCCCTGCCATCAGCTCAGCCAGCCCTCCCCTCTGGCCTTGCCCTGCTCCACTCCACACCTGCTCACATCTTGCTGCCACCTGTGAGGCATTGGCAGGGCAGGTGTTAGCATCACCTGCTCCCTCCACACCACCCACCCACCGCTAGTCCCCTGAGGCCTGGCGTAGGTTTAATGGTTAACCAGGCTGAGCCGGACCCTAAGCTGATTGCACCAGCTCAGAAAGAGCTTCCTCCTGAAACCCACTAGGCACCTGCTGGGAATAATCCCCGGGATTAGTGGGGGTGGGCTGGCAAAGACACTCCTGCTGTCCCCCCATCCTACACACTGCTCGCTCTACGCACTGCCCACCCTACACGCTGCCCTGCATCCTACACACTGCCCCCTCCCGCAACTGCTTCCCACCCTACACACTCTCCCCGCTGTCCCGCGCCCTACACGCTGCCCCCTCCCCTGTCCTACACGCTGCCCCCTCCCCACACTGTCCCCCATCCTACATACTGCCTCCTCCCGACTGCCTCCCACCCTACACACTGCCCCTTCCTGCCGCTATCCCCCGCCCTACATGCTGCCCCCTCCCCTAACTGCCCTCCAGTATACACACTGCTTCCTGTCCGCCACTCTACACACTGCCCTCTCCCCCCACTGTCCCCGCCCTACATGCTGCCCCCCTCCTGACTGCTTCCCGCCCCACGTGCTGCCCCCCTCTCGACTATCCCCTACCCTACACACTGCATGCGCCCTACACACTGCCCCTCCCTGACTGCCTCCCCCATGCTGCCCTGTCCCTTTACAGCCATCTCCCCTACACTGCCCCTCCCCCGAAAGCCCCCATACACACTGCTACACACACATACACCCCACACACACAACCTATGACCCACTGACCCCCTCTCTCTTTACAGCCTGAGCTGAGCTGCCGGGGTGGAGATAAGAGATTGAGGTGAGATTCGTGGGGTACAATGGGGAGGAGGGGCTGGGAGTCAGGACTCTCCTGGGTTCTATTCTCAGCTCGTGGTCAGGGGTCACTGCTTTCTTGGGGGAGCGGGGGGCAGGGGCAGTCTGCTCTCTGGAGGGCCTTGGAGTGAGGTGCCCCCATTATAGCCCTTCCCCTGGTTGCTCCTTAACCCCATCATTCCCAGGAGGGCCTCACCCCTGGGCACCTGAAGAAGGCCAAGCTGATGTTCTTCTACACTCGCTACCCCAGTTCCGGGACGCTCAAGACCTATTTCTCCGACGTCAAGGTGGGTCCTTCAGAACCTCCCCAACTCTGGGACAGTTTGACCATGGACCCTCCCCATGGATCCAGGCCCCCTTCTGTATGGCCCATGCAGGTCCTCTAGCACCATCCACCCATGGAGGGAGGGTCCCTTCCCCCCGCCGCCCCCCCCCCCACTGACCGTGTTGCCAGAAACAGACACTTAGGTAGATCATGTGACGAGAGATGTGACGGGGGAGAATTGGACTGTCCTTTTCCCAGGGAGCTGGAGGGAAGGAAGGGGGATTGGACCCCTGTTTGCAGGGAATTGGGGGGCAGGAAGGGAGATTGGACCCCCCCTTTTCCCAGGAAGTTGGGGCAGGGAATGTGGGTCACACTTCCGTTTTCAGTGAATTGGGGGACTGAGGCCCAGGGCTGCGTTGATGGCAACGTCTCTCTCCTCTTGCTGTCCCCACAGTTCAATCGCTGCATCACGTCCCAGCTCATCAAGTGGTTCAGCAACTTCCGGGAGTTCTTCTACATCCAGATGGAGAAGTTCTCACGCCAGGCATTGAGCGATGGGGTGCTCAGCGTCGAGATGCTGACTGTCACCCGGGACTCGGAGCTGGCACGTGTCCTCAACCAGCACTACAACAAAGCCAATGACTACGAGGTGGGCAGGGAGGCAGGCAACGTGGGGCACACAGACCAGGTGGAGATTTGGGAGGGGCCCCGTAAGTGGGGCACGTGGGTGGGAAGGGGAGTACAGGCCAAGTTGGGGATTGGGGAGGGATCCTGGCTGAGGTGAGGAGTGCAGGCCTGGGGTGATCTTGGCAGCATGGGAGCAATTGACAAGAGGAAATTGACCTTGGGGGAGGAATAAAAAGAGCCCTGCTAAGACCCCTCCTGCGCCAGGTGTCACCAGTCCTGACAGGGTGATGCCCTCATGTCTTTTTTCCCCCCACCCAGATCCCCAGCAAGTTCCTGGAGGTCTCCCAGATCACCCTGCGTGAATTCTTTAGTGCCATCTCCCGGGGCTGTGATGCTGACCCCTCCTGGAAGAAATCCATCTACAAGGTTATCTGCAAACTGGAGTGCGACATACCCGATGCCTTCAAATCCCCCCAGGGTCTGCCAGACACTGTGCATGAGTGACTGAGGGAGGGGCGCTGCAGAGTTGGGGTCCTTGGCGGGGGGGGAGGAGGGAGGGCTCTGGTAATTTATTGCTGATGTAATCCACAATGTTGCTAAATTGCTGGCTGAGGTCGGGGTGGCCTTGACACCACCCACATTTCAAAATTATCCTCCCCACACATAGCAGAGAAGGTTGCATTGGGAGAGTGTAGGGACTGCAGGCCAGGGAGGGATCCCAGCAGTGGGGGAGGCAGGTGGCGTGGGGAGCACAGGAAAGGAATGGGGATGGGGGAGGGAGGCAGGCAGTGTGGGGAGCACAAGAAAGGAATGGGGATGGGGGAGGGATCCCAGCAGTGAGGGAGACAGGCGGCATGGGGAGCACAGGAAAGGAATGGGGATGGGGGAGGGATCCCAGCAGTAGGGGAGGGAGGCAGACAGCGTGGGAAGTGCAGGATGGTGGAGGCAGGCTTGTGGGAGCACAGGCCGGGGGTGGGGATGGAGGAGGGATCCCAGCAATTGCAGGGGAGGTGGTGTGGGGAGCGCAGGCTGGGGAGTGGAGCCGGGGGAGGGATCCCAGCAGTGAGGGAGGCGGCTGGCATGGGGAGCACAGATCAGGTACAGGTGAAAGTTTCTTCTTGGGGTGGGATCTACAGCTAGGAACAGTACCCACATGGGGCCCATCCACACCCTAAGCAGTGGGTGGTTTGTGTTAGTGGCTGCACTTGCCCACATCCATGAGTTTAAGGCCTGTGGGAGGAGGGAGGGGGGTGGCGGGGAGAGGGGCTTGTGCTTCCCAGTGTATGTATTGCTGAGACTTCACGCTCCCTCTGGACCCTGCCAATAAAGACACATTGAAAAGCTGCTGTCTGTCTCCTGGGGTTGGGTCTGGGACTGGGGTGCTGGGGTTAAATTCCAGCGGGTGCATGTGCCAGATCACCCTACCCATAGCCCTGTGTGTGAGCCCAGAACATCAGCAATTCATACTCCCCTGGTCTGGGGGTTCTGGAGGAATTTGGAGGCAGTGTTGTCCAGTGGTTAGGGCACTACCTTGGGAGTCAGGACACCTGGCTCTGCCAAACTTCATGTGACCTCGGGCATATCATGTAACCTTTCCATGCCTTGACTTTTGCATCAAATGGGGAAAATTATCCTTCCCCTTGTCTGCTTAGGTTCTTTGGGGCAGGGACTCTCTCTTGCTGTGTGTTTGTGCAATACTGGGTAAAATGGGCCCCCCGATCTCAGTACGGGTCCTGTGCAGCACCTGGCATGACGGGGGCCACAGTCTCAGTTGTGGGTCTGTGCAGTGCCTGGCATGATGGAGCCCCGATCTCTGGGGGCGGGTCTCTAGCTACTATTGTACACAAACAGTACCAGGCCTGAGACTAGAGTCAAGACTCAGGTGATGTGATACTGCCTTTGAGGGGGGCCAGTGGGGCGATGATTTGCTGATACCTATGCGGATGAGACGCTGCCAACTTGTGGGGATTAGGAAGTGTGGAGAAAGAGAGAGAGCCAGAGTGAGTGCGGAGGACAATTCCTCCACCCCGCATCTGGATCCTGATTAATTAAATGGCTGCCCTGCTCAGGTGGCTGAACAGCTGGTGGTGCATTTTAAAATCACAAATCCTTCCCCGCCTGGCCCAGCTGCAAATGGCCAGATTAATACACCCGATTAACCGTGGGGGGAGGGAGGGATGATGTTAGCATGATGGCCTCAAAGCCCAAGGTGCTGCAATAGTCTCTGCTGGCAGCCCCACAAGCCTAGAGCCGCCCCCGTGCTGTGGAATCCTGTCCCCTAGTCCCTGTGGGGGAGGATTTCTCAGCAGAAGCTAAAGGTGACCTCAGTCTGCACAATCATTGCAGGATTTTTCCAAAGCTTTCTGCTTAAAGACACTGGGAGGAACTAGGGGACATAAAGAGCTTTGGGGGAGGGGCTAGTTTGAATTAGATGGGGTGGAGGAGTGACCTGAGGGATGGGGCAGAATGACCAGAGGGGCTCAGAGTCCAGCAGTCTCCTGCTTTGGTTCTGAGAGGCGGTGGAGTTTGCCAAGGACTCTTAAAATGCAGTAACTGGTGGCCACCGCGCAGGGAGGGGGGGTGGAATGTGATATGGGGTCTATCAGCTCTGGGTACCAATCCCGATCCAACCCCAGGTCAGAGGGAGTTGGGAGAATGGGTGATGGCTGCTGCTTATGCAGGGATTCTTCGGGTAGCACGAAGATGTGGCCGCTATTTATACAGGGATCCTTCGCCTGGCACTGAGATGTAGCTGCTGCTGGGATGGGCACTGCAGCTGTTTATACATGGCTCCCTCCCTCATCGGTGCTGAGATGCAGCCGCCTCTGGGGTGGGGCATGGGAACTGTTTATACAGAGCTCTCTCGCTCAATGCTGAGAGGCAGCCACCTCTGGGGAGGGGTGTGGGAGCCATTTACACAGGGATTTCTTGCCCATGCTGAGATGTAGCTGTTTCTGGGGCAGGGAAAGCACAGAAACACTACCCAACCGATGGGACAGCAGAAGAAGTACACTCCTGTAACCAGCTGGTCGGTAGGAGGCCAAATTGAATGGGCCATGTTGGAATTTGGCCAGATAGTGGGGGCTCTTGGGGAAAGTGCTAGGCAGGTTTAGTGACCAGGCGGTGTCAGTGAGCCTCATTTTGAAATCTCATGTTAAGGTCAGCAGCACAGCACCCCTTAGCCGAGGCACTGGGGTCAGCATTGATTGTGAGGGCAGAGCGCCCCCTACTGAGCCTCTGTCCTGCTCCCTGCACAGCACCAACTCAGCCTGCCCCTGCTTAGCAGTGCTTAGCTAGAGAATTATATCTCCCCACCCCTTAGCCACCGGCCACAGGGGTGAGAGAGGGGATGGCAACCCATAGCTGCTGTACTGCAGTGAGCAGGAGGAGTTGGGGCCAGCAGTCTGGGGTGGAGCAGAGAAGAGGCTGCCTGCCCAAATCCAGGGGTGGCTGTAGATGGATCCCATTGCAAAGTGGCTGGACCTAACACGTCTTCCTTTCGCTTTCCCAGCCCCAATCCCTGCAGGAAAGAGTGGGAGACACCTAGGACCCGCAAGCTGGGAGCTGCCATCGCTGCGAGGCTGCTGCTACTCCATCGGGGCCGGGAGCTGACCCCATAGTCTTGGGACAGAGACCAAAGGGTAAATGAGAGTTGTCGGTTTGGTACAGAGCCCTCGTAACGTACGACTGCTCCTTCAGTCTGTGCCAGCATGTGGGGCTTGCTGGGCTGGAGGCTCTCCCCCTCCCCGTTGGTGCTGCTGCCTGTAGCTGTGTCTGGTACCTTAAAGCCAAGGGCCAGTGGCTTCTTTGCAACTTGGGCCTTGTGAAAGTCATGTAGTCCAAGATGGCCGCTGCGCCATGGTAACTGGGCCCAACAAGTATGGCCCAAGATGGCCGCTGCGCCACGGTAACAGGGCCTGGCCTGTGTGGTACAAGATGGCCACCTGTCCAGGTTTTCCCAGGATTGTCCCTGCCCTGGGATGTTTGTCCAGGTGTTCAGTACACACTGCAAGCTGTATGGTTTTATGGGCTCAGGATCATCCTGTTGTGACAGGCTGATAACTTCCTGCAATGTCCTCACTGAACGTTACTGAATTAAATTAAAACGTTTTGCATTTGTTTTAACATCTTTGCTCTCCATGTACTGAAAACGCGATGGTGTCTGTGTTACTGCAGAATTGCATGTATTTCCACGGGACAGGTCAATAGGAGAACAGCAGGAGGTGGTAAAGGAAATTCACCCCGGCAGCCTGTAACATCTCTAGAGGAGACACCCCCTGGAGCACTGCGCGTACACGAGATCGAACTGGATTCTCGAGGGCACAACAGACAAAGAAAGCAGTTTTGGATAAATAGCCTGGTTTTAACCTGACTCAAGGCCTTCTTCCTGATCCAGCAAACAGCCAGCATGTGAGTGGATTCTCGTATTGTTTTGAATGTTTTCTCTGTCGTGCTTTTTACCTTAAGAATAATGTAGGCCTGCCTAGGAAGTGCTGGGGCGTACCTTATAACTGCAGCAATGATATGTGTTAACCGTCTCTAAAGACAGGTTTCAGAGTAGCAGCCATGTTAGTCTGTATTCGCAAAAAGAAAAGGAGGACTTGTGGCACCTTAGAGACGAACATTTTTATCTGAGCATAAGCTTTCGTGAGCTACAGCTCACTTCATCGGATGCACGATGCACAGATGCTCACGAAAGCTTGTGCTCAAATAAATTGGTTCGTCTCTAAGGTGCCACAAGTACTCCTTTTCTTTCTTTCTCTAAAGAGAAAGCAAACAGGTCTGGCTTGGGCAAGGTGCCTCTGCTGCAGGGAACACTGTGCAGGCAGGGACCTGTGCAGCTTCCAAATCTCCCAGTCAGAAGGGAGAGGGCCGTGGGTCTCCAACAGGAGAGTAAAGAGCTGGGGAGCGGAAAGCTGGGGGGGGGCCCTTGCTGGGCCATTGAGGGGAAATACAGGTGCAGTTGCTCTGAACTGTGACATGTGGACGTCCTAATTTGTATACCTCAGAGGTAGCAGCCGTAGACTGGGGTCCACGTGGTCCAGCATGGCTGCCATGCCACAGCAGCAGGGCCTGTGTGGGCTGAGAGGTGGGGGAGCATTGTTATTGCTGTTTTGGAGACGAGGAAAATGAGATGTGGAGAGGGAATGGGACTTGGATTTGAGGCAGTGGCTGAGATGGAGAAAGAGCCCAGGAGCCCTGATTCCCAGCACCCCACACTGGGCTAATTGCAAGACCCCATGCCCCTCCCAGAGGTGGAGATAGAACCCAGGAATCCGGACCCACCCCCTTCCCACTCCGTGTTGTGGTTGTGGGGCCTTTAATGGCCACAGTGCTGTGGTAGCAGGGCCCACCGGGCCCAGGATGGTCACCTTAAGCCATGGAAGTGTTCCCAACTCAGTGTTTTTGTGAGTGACAGGCTCCAGAAATCCATCCTATCTGGTAATGCCATGAGAAGTTCCAGCCCCTGCATGGCTGGAAGCCAGAAAAGTCCTCCTCCAGGAGGGAGGGAGCAAAGACCCCAGCAGCTCAGCATGGCTCTGCTCCCTCCTCCCCCTGGGATTGATCCCCGGCTTGGGAAGGGTGCGGGGTGAAGAGCCCCTGGAGTTGCCTCTCTCAGCTTGGAAGGGGGGGACCACACTACAGCCCCTATGCCTGGGAGAGGGGGCTGAAGAACCCCAGGAGAAGCAGAGTTCAGGCTCGGGGGGCTGAACTGAGGAAGGGGCTGGGGAGCAAGGGATAGGCAGATGTTGGGGTGAGAGCTCAGACAGCAGGGGGCCAAAATCACCATACCCGTTAAATTTGGTAGAGTGAGTGACACCACTTGTCCCCCCACCCCCACTTGGGGATGGGCCAGAGGACTTTCAATATCGAGACAGACTGAAAATTACAATCTAGTCTTTTAAAACAACAAAACTCCCTTGGTGTGTGGGCCAGTCCCATGATGGTTGGGGTCAGAGCGGTGAGTTTTGATCTCATGGGGGGGGCAATACTGTGGGCACGAGGCCCAGGGGCCCCACCATGGCTGCCCTACCTGTGGTGGCAGCAGTGCCTTTGGGTCCAAGTTGGCCACTGCACTGTGGTAGCAGAGCTCCTGCGGGCCAAAATGGCCTCCCTGCGCCATTATGAGCTTCACCTTCCACTCTTCCCACCAACCATATGAACAAACAGAAGCACCTGCTGCTGTCATCTGTTCTTTAATAGTCCAGGCTGGGTTAGGGAGGTGGGGTGGAGGCTAATCAGTCAGGGGTCCCAGGGAGAGCAGGTTACCCCACTTCACTGGGATTTGGGGATGTCATGCTCTTCCCCCCAATGCCCACACTAGGGGACGCCATCAGTTCAGCACAAGGCACGGAGGAGGCATTTGGCATTGATGGGGTGCCAGGATTGCCTTCTGAGTAGGATAGTTGAGATGTATAAGCTGCTGGGTTTTGAGTGACAGGGTGGGACTGGGGTGGACCCCAAGATTTTAGGCCACGGCTTCCAGGGTGGAGGCAGCACTCTCCACAGCCTGCACGACGATGGTGAGGTGCTTCTGGACTTGGTCCCAGTCCCCTGTCTCCAGGGCACTGGTGTAGGCGTCGGCCAGTCCTGGGAAGGTGGCCTGGTCAGAGGATTTGGATGCCCAGATCACGTGGCTGAGGAGTTGGAAAGAGAATGGGAGAGGTCAGTATCATGTTAGCCCTGTGATACACATGGGGAAACTGAGGCATGGAGAGGTGAAGGGGCTCTCCCAGGGTTATGCAGGGAGTCAGCAGCAGAACTGGAAATAGACTCCAGGTGTCCTGAATATCAGCCCCCCCATGCTTGAACCACTAGACACCACTCCTTTCCAGAGTTGGGGATAAAACCCAGGAGTCCCAACTCCTAGCCCCCAGGCTGTAAACCCTAATCCCCACTCCAGACCTGTCTTCTCTAACCACTAGACCCCATGCCCCTCCTAGATGTCATTCTCTTGCTGATGCCCTTTCACCCAGGATCCACCAGGGATTGGTGAGGATGGGCCCTTGGGAATGGAACCCAGGTGTCCTGTCCAGCCCCCCACATGGCATTACCTGTAATAGTATTTGTTGGGGAAGGCCTGGGGGTTGAGGAAGGCCCTTTCCAGCAGCATTATTTGGTCATTCACCATCCGGATCTGGAGAGGACTGGGGTGGGTGGGAAGGAGAGACCAGAGTAGGATTAGGGTCCCCCTTACATCAGATGCCCTGTGGGGGGGCTCCATCATCTCATCCAGCCTTGCCTACTGCTCTCCAGGCCTGTGACCTTGTCCCAACCTTTCCCTTTCTGGAGGACTGGAAGAGACCCCCCCTCCAAGCTCCATTCCCAGAGGGGTCTCCACTAAGGACAACAGACCCCTCCTTCCCTGGGTCCAAGGATTATGTGCCCTTTGTAGATAAGGGAGACTCCCCAACCCTCACAGGTGACATGTTTGCACAAGCATGGCCATGCATGTATATGTGAACATGCTAACACGTGTGACCACTCCCTGTAGGACAGTGCCTCCAAGCTGTGCACCCGTGCAGTTGTACAGAGGCAGGCGGGCATGGACACCCACCAGTGCAATTGCACATGCAGTCAGGGACACGTCTCACCTGGGAGACTCCTCCTCCTTCAGTTTCGTTATTCGCTGGTTGAAGTCAGCAGCCACCGATTTGAACTGACCAATCGCAGCCTTCAAAGGGTCTGCAAGGCGGGCAGGACTAAGTGTAAGGGAGCAGGTCTGCAGCCCCTTCTCCCTATGGTCCCCATCAGCACCTTCCCCACACCAATCTGGGCTCTCCAGGGAAGCCAGGCTATGGGCCCCTGAAGTATTGGAGTCAGCCCTGACTGCGAGGGGAGAGCAGCCCCTTGCTCTGCTCCTTGCAGCCAGTGCCCGCAGTGCAGGAGTTAGCACTGACTGAGAGGGGAGAGCACCTCTTGCTGAGCCCCCCCATCTTGCAGCATGTCACCCGCTAGCACCATGGTGAGGAAAGCACTGACTGCGGGGAGTGCAGCTGCTACTGAGCAGAACTGCACTTGGTCATTGGAGCTGGCACTGACCCAGAGGGGAGAGCGCCCCCTACTGAACCCCCACCCTGGAGCACAGTGAGAGAGAGATTGTTGGGGGTAGTACCCAGGAGTCCCACCCGCCCGCACCAAGAGAGAGATTGTTGGGATGGTACCTAGGAGTCGTACCCACCCACACTGAGAAAGAGATTGTTGGGGATAACACCCAGCAGTCCCACCCACCTGCACCGAGAGAGAGGTTTTTGGAGATAACACCCAGGGGTCCGGCCTGCACTGAGAGAGAGATTGTTGGGGATAACACTTAGGAGTCCCACCCACCCACACCGAGAGAGAAATTGTTGGGGATAGCACCTAGGAGTCCTGCCCGCCCACACCAAGAGAGAGATTGTTGGGGAGAGCACCTAGGAGTCCTGCCCGCCCACACCAAGAGAGAGATTGTTGAGGATAGCACCTAGGAGTCCCACCTGCCTGCACCTAGGAGTCCCACACTGAAAGAGACATTGTTGGGGATAACACCTAGGAGTCCTGCTGCCCGCACCAAAAGAGAGATTGTTGAGGATAACACTTAGGAGTCCAGCACGCACCAAGAGAGAGATTGTTGGCAGTGAGGTTGGCCAGGAAGTCCCCCTGGGCGGCCGCACTGTACAGCTCATCCAGCTTCTCTCCATAGTCGCTCACATTAAGGGGGAGGACGAGGCTGTCGGCCAGCCGTAGCAGCACGTTGCCGACTGTCCGGGCCACGGCCTGGTGGCTGGTGAACCCTGTGGCCAAATGCGGATAAAGGGATTAGATGCATCCTAAACCTCCCCCGCAATACCCAGGCCCCCATGCCTGCCCAGGGTGAATGCCACGCCCCTTTACCTGGGTCGATGAACCTGTCAGCATAGTCAAAGGTATCGAAGGCCGTGTGGTAGGCAGGGTAAATCCGAGCAGATGTCTTGTTCTACGGCAGGGAAGGGGCAAAGCAGCTGAAAACAAAAGGGGCACAGATCCCAAGGCCCCCCTCTTTCCCCTAGTGAGGTGAGATCCCCCAGCAAACCCTCCCCTTGACTCACCTGCCCAGCTCCTTAGCCCCACACTGGGGTCAGCACTGTGAGGGACAGTGCCCTCTACTGGGCCCCCCCAATGTACTCCCTGCAATACAGTGCCCCCCAGGCACAGCACAGGGGTCAGCACTGACTGAGGGGAGAGCGCCCCCTACTGAGCAGAGGGTAGCAGCGAGATAGCCCAATTCTGCGCTCTCCCTGCCTCTTTTCCAGCGCCCAGTGAATGCCCCACGTGGGCAAGGATCTGGGATTGAGGCCATGTCTGTCAGGAGGGGGCAGCTCAGGCAGGCTCATCCCAGAGCAGCAGGTGTCCTTACCCTGTCATAGGTGTAGGCGATGTCCATGGAGGTGATGCCTAGGTAATGGATGAAGGAGGCATAGTCGCTCCCGGCACCCAGGGACCCTAAGCTGTGCGGGGGATGGAGATGGGTGAGTGACTCAGGACCAGGCAGGGGGGAGACAGTGGGAAGGGGAAACATCCCTGGGTGGAGAGCAGAGTTTGCCATCTCCTGTTCCGCTGATGTGGCCCCTGCCTACGGGGGGAGATCCCCAAGCCCCCATTCTTTGGTATGTTCTATGGCTGTTGTCATGGTTCAGAGTTGCCCAGGCTCCTGATATTCTCCCTCTCTGCCACCCCAGATCAGACCAATGGGCATGTTTAGCCCAGTATCCCCCTCGGTGGATCAGAACAGTGGGTCCATCCAGTCCAGTATCCCCCACCCCCCATCTGCTACTCCCCCAACAATTAAGCTTTCTCTTCAATCTGAGCCACAGAAGGGGGTCGGGAGGAGAAGATCTTGGCCCCTTTCCGGTCCCTCCCACTCCCTATCATCCACCCTTGGAGTGTGGGGGCCTGGGTGGTGGTTCCCACTGACTTGGGCTCTCACTTGGGGATGACGCCGTAGCTGGGGCTGATGCGGTTGAAGTGGTTTCTCCAGTTGTCATAGACGGACATGGAGGAACTGGCCGGGGTCTGGACCTGGAATAGGTTCACATGAGTCAGACTCCCCTGCAGTAGGAGAGGCGACGAACACACACACCTCTCCCACCACAGATCCACCCTGGTACCTGCTTGGCAGCTGCAAAGATGACACTCTGGGCAGGCGGTGTCCCCTGGGCTCTCAGGGTGGCGTTGGCTGTGGAAAGCACAGGTGAGGCAATGTTAGGGGCTGTGCCGGATCGTACAGGGAGACCTGCCACGCCCTGGGACTCTGCGGCACCAACTGGCCCGCAGCACAGCCAGACCGGCATCACCTGCACTCTCTGCCACCTGCTTATGTGGCACATGCTTTCCCTTCCATGGCTGTTCAGTCACACCCTCTGGCACGTGTACTCTCGCACAACCATTCAGCTGCGCCTCCTCAGACACGTATTCAGTTGCATGCAGGCTCTCACACTTGTGCCCGTCTGATTGCACATGCACTCGCACGCTGCACGCTCCCTTTCATCCCTTCCTCCCCAAAACACCCCAGCCCGCCTGGGCCCGGTGTCGCAGCCCTTCTACACAACGCAGAGAAGGGGATGGTGCAGCAAGCACGGAGGAGGGAAGGCAGGACAGACGGACGCTCACCGAAGACAGAGATGTCCACGTTGATGTAGGCCACGCTCCGGTCCCGCAGTTTGCTGTAGAATTCCTGGGCAAGGGAGAGACCCAGCAGTTAGTGCAATGGGATCGGGTGAGCTGCGTGGGCCCATGGGTCTGCTCTGGGCTCGCTGGGCCCATGAGTCTGGTGCAGGGAGTGACAGGCTCATTGTAACATCCTGATCCGCTACAGTACATTCAGCACATACCTGGGTGCAGGTCTGCTTGGATGCAACAGAGGGCAGCAGCCACATCCACCCTCCCTCCCATTTTATCCCCTCCAAAGGGGAGCCGCTGTTAATCCCCCTCCCCTCTCTCTCTTGGGTTTTTACCTCCGTGTACTCGGTGGAGCCGATCAGACCAAACTCCTCAGCCCCCCAGCTGCCAAAGATAATGGACCTTCTGGGGCGCCACTTCCCTGTGGAGAAACACACAGCCTGGAGATTCAGACGTCGTGGTTAGAGCAGGGCAGTTCTGGGAGTCAGGACTCCTGAGTTCTGCCACTGATGTGCTGGCTGACCTCGAAGGCAAGTCCACTCTGTGCCTCAGTTTCCCTAGCTGTGCACTGGGGATAGTTGCACCCCTGTGCGCCCCCCCCGAGCCCTCATACCTTCTTTCAGCATCTTGCCCAGCACGCGGGTGATCTCCAGCATGACAGCCGTCCCACTGCTCGGGTCGATGGCTCCGTGCACCCAGCTGTCTCGGTGGTTGCCGTACAAGACATACCTGTCTGGGGGGGCGAGGAGAGAGACGGAGCCCTGCTGCTGATCGGGATGTTGCGGGGAGTGCACGGGGATGGGGAGGGCTGCTCAGGATGGAGTGTGGTGGGGGGAACTTGCCAGCTGTGAGCCCAGATGATAAAGGAGCAGTGTTGGAGGGGGGTGGGGGTCACTGGGGAGCATTCTTGAGCATGGGGGGAAGAGGAGACCACTGAGGAGTGCTCCAGGGCATGGAGAGGGGAAGGGAATGAGAGGTTTGGGGGAATGGGCATGGAGACAGGTGTATCCCAGTACGGTGAATGGGGCAGGGTGGGGGACACTCCAGGTTTGTGGGGTGGGGGAGAGGGGGTTGGGGTGGTGGGAGTGGTGGTAGGTGTGGGGGTGCTTGGTGGTTGTTCAGGGGGGGCACACTCACCAGGTTCCTCACTGCCCCGGATGAACCCCATCACGTTGGAGGAATTCTTGATGACTCGCTGGTTGTAGACGTTGACCTGGACATCACTGTGGGGAGAGCGGGAGGAGCTGGGGTTAGCCTAGTGGGGGTTGGGGTGTGTGTGTCAGGGTCAATGCAGTGGGAGATTGACATGATGGGGGCTGGAGCGGGGAACAGGGGATGGGGGAATTGGGGCCAGCATGGGAGGAGTCTAGGGGAGGTTGCGGGGTCTGGGTCATTGCAATGGGGGTCAGGGAGGGGAAAGTGGTAACAATGCAGTGGGGTCCGGGGGGAGTTGGTGCAGTTGGGTGGGTCTGGAGATGGGAGCTGGTGCAGGAGGAAATTGGGGTCAGTGCCAGGGGAGTGGAGAAGAGGGGATTTGGGGTCAGCTAGGGTCTTGATGTGGTGTCTTGAAACCTGTTCAGATTGTGATCACTTTAAATTCACAGGGATTTTTCTGGTCCTGCTTGCAGGCAGGGGGCTCAGAGGCAGTGAAGCGTGGATCTGGGCCTTGCAGCAGTCAGTCTGCAGAAAGCCAGCCTGGAGTAAGGTGAGTGAGCTGAGCCTCTGGGCTTTGTCTCTCTCTGTGTTTGGATTCTTGTTCTGACTCCTGAGACCAAAAGTAGTGTTGCCTCCCAGCAAGAAGACTGTATGGTTTGATCGAACTACTCTGTGTCTGCTGGGAACACACCACTAGGGAATGCAGGGTCTGAGGGCCTGGGTTAACACAGTGAGCATTGGAGAAGGAGGGGGAAGTCGAAATTCCCAGGTGACTTTTGGTGGGAGCTGGGGCGGGGTGGGATGCAATCCTGGACCACATGTATACATCCATACCTGGTGTTGGGAAACAGCCCCCCTGTGCGGAATCCTGGTCCCACAGGATAGGAGCAGCCCAGAGAGCCCTGCCAGGACGCAGGAGCCACAGGGCCAGACAGGTTACTAGAAGACATAGAGCCAGAGATATATGGGGTTATTAGAGTCTCTGCTCCCCACAAACCACTTTTGCTGCCCCCGCAAAACCACCAAGCCTCCTCTGTCAGTCTCCTCAGCAGCTCTGCCCTGGCCACGAAGGCTGCATTCCCACTCCTGATAATAACCTTCCTTTGTTTACTCTGCAGCATCTTTTCCCTAGGACACTCCAAGTGCTTTACACCCCTGAACAGTTCAAACACTGGGGACCCCCACACTACCCAGGAGGTGCACGGTGGGTGTCTTTATTTTATAGATGGAGAAATCGAGGCACAAGGTGGAGAAGTGGGTCATTCAAGGGCATGCAGGGAATCAGACCTGGGAAAAGAACCCAGGAAACCTGACTCCCAGCCCCCTCTCCTCCAACCCACTGGGCCCTATGCCCCTCCCAGATCTGGGGACAGACCCAGGAGTCCTTACTCCCAGCCTGCCCTCCACCACAGTCTAACCCTGGCTCTCAGGTCTGCTGTTCTGACCACTAGACCCCACTCCCCTCCCAGAGCTGGAAAGAGAACCCGGAGTGCTGACTTCCAGCTCCTCCTGCTCTACCCATTGAACCTCACCCCCTTCATATATACATTACACCATAAACCTGTGCTATTAGGCTGTTCAATCCACTTCTCATAAAATCTACATGGCCCTCTATGGAGGGGCCATGGCATGTACAATACAGCAGGTGTACAATGGTGTAGTCAGGACTGTGAGAGAATGAGGCATTTCCCATTGCCTTGGGGGTTATTTATTATCTTATTGTGGTAGTGCCCAGAAGCACCATGTATACAGGGATTCCTCTCCACTACTGAGATGCCGCCACATCTGGGTTACGGCGCGGGGGCCATTTATACAGGGACCTCTTGCCTGGGGCTGAGATGCAGCCGCCTCTGGGTTGGGGTGCTTGCCCCAAATTGCTGACGATCAAAGTAATTCAGTTCAGGTGAATTTCCTGACCTCAGTGGTGCATCAATGCCAGAATCAGAAGCAGAGGGGCAGTGGTCTGGCTGCATTTAATTTTGTTGCACTCTTTCCCTGCACTTAATGACTGTGTTTTTAACAAACGGACTTGGGGCCTGAGTTGTCACCACCTAGTGGCTAAAGCTGATGGTGCACATGTGTATTCCCCTTTCAAACTAAAAGAAAAGGAGTACTTGTAGCACCTTAGAGACTAACCAATTTATTTGAGCATGAGCTTTCGTGAGCTACAGCTCACTTCATCAGATGTATACCGTGGAAACTGCAGCAGACTTTATATACACACAGAGAATATGAAACAATACCTCCTCCCACCCCACTGTCCTGCTGGTAATAGCTTATCTAAAGTGATCATCAGGTGGGCCATTTCCAGCACAAATCCAGGTTTTCTCACCCTCCACCCCCCCACACAAATTCACTCTCCTGCTGGTACTAGCCCATCCAAAGTGACAACTCTTTACATAATCAAGTCGGGCTATTTCCTGCATAAATCCAGGTTTTCTCACATCCCCCCCACCCCCATACACACACAAACTCACTCTCCTGCTGGTAATAGCTCATCTAAACTGACCACTCTCCAAGTTTAAATCCAAGTTAAACCAGAACATCTGGGGGGGGGGGGTAGGAAAAAACAAGAGGAAACAGGCTACCTTGCATAATGACTTAGCCACTCCCAGTCTCTATTTAAGCCTAAATTAATAGTATCCAATTTGCAAATGAATTCCAATTCAGCAGTTTTCTCGCTGGAGTCTGGATTTGAAGTTTTTTTGTTTTAAGATAGCGACCTTCATGTCTGTGATTGCGTGACCAGAGAGATTGAAGTGTTCTCCGACTGGTTTATGAATGTTATAATTCTTGACATCTGATTTGTGTCCATTTATTCTTTTACGTAGAGACTGTCCAGTTTGACCAATGTACATGGCAGAGGGGCATTGCTGGCACATGATGGCATATATCACATTGGTGGATGTGCAGGTGAACGAGCCTCTGATAGTGTGGCTGATGTTATTAGGCCCTGTGATGGTGTCCCCTGAATAGATATGTGGGCACAATTGGCAACGGGCTTTGTTGCAAGGATAAGTTCCTGGGTTAGTGGTTCTGTTGTGTGGTATGTGGTTGTTGGTGAGTATTTGCTTCAGGTTGCGGGGCTGTCTGTAGGCAAGGACTGGATATTCCATGATCAGTAATATTCCCTAGCTCTTATCTAGTGCTTTTCAGTCAATGCCATTATCTCCATTCTAGAGATGGGGAAACTGAAGCACAAAGAGGGGGAAGTGCCTTGTCCAAGGTCACTCAGAAGGCTGGTGGCTGAGCCGGGAACAGAACCCAAGTGTCCTGAGTACCAATCCATGCACCAGCCAGCAGCCATTCTCACCTGCTATGTCCTGCTACAGGACAACGCCAGGACCAGGGGAGATGATTGTGAGTCTAATGGGTAGTGGGCACTGAAATGCATTAAGGGGTGTATTCAGCCAGATTTCACAGCTTCTTTGCCCCAACTCCACTGAATTGGTCACCCACCAGATTAGTGTCTGGGCGTCTTCAAAGCCAATTGGCTGAGTTGGGATTGGCGGGATCCCCTGGATCTCTGACTCCTTGATTCTGTAGGTGAATTCTACAAGAGAAAGGCAGGTGAATCAGAAGGAAGCTTATTATCCCCCTTCCCCCAGTGCCCTGTTTGGGATGGTGGGGGGTCATTTGCTGCAAAGATGGTGGGCAGTCCAGACTTGGATCTGATGGGGTGCAGGGGACATACCCCAGATGGAGGTATGTCACAAGGAGGACCAGAGGGCCTGGGGAGTCAGGACTCCTGGGTTCTATCCCAGCTCTGGGAGAGGAATGGAGTCTAGTGGTTAGAGCAGCGGGGGCTGGGAGTCAGGACTTCTGGGTTCTATTCCTGGCTCTGGAAGGGGCGTGGTGTCTTGTGATTAGAGCCGTAGAACTAGGAGACAAAACTTTTGGGTTCTGTGGAGATGGTGGCGGAAGGAGAGGTGAATTGGGTGGAGGAGGCCAGATGGGCTCCTATAGTGCAGGGAATAGGGGGCACTCCAGGGCAGCAATTCCCCCATGGGTTTGGTTAATCTGCAGAACGTCCTGCTACAGGATATAGCTGGGGGCAGAGGATGGAGTGCCATCTGAATGAACAAGAGCAGGGGTGGGGGGATGAATTCAAGGAGGCTCTTGGCCTCATCCGCAGGGGGTTGTGACAGACTCCCCTCCTCTTCATGGGAGGGAACAGCAAGAAGCATTGTGGGTCAAAGCCAGTCCCGCCCTGCCCTGACATGTTACCTTTGGCAGGATAGTAGGGCGTAAGCAGGTCCCCGAAGTACCCATTGTAAGAGCCCCGCTCCACACCGGAGGGGGGCAAGTACCAGGAGTTGGGGTAGGTCTCCTCCTCGGATGCCCGCCCATCATTGATGTCTGCAGGGTCTGTATACACCACCACGCCAGCTACACCAAACTCTGCCCCGTTCACTGCCTAGAGGGTTAGGGTCAGTCAGATTATCCACTCCACCATCACCACCATTGCCAGGGGGAACGGGAATGGCAGCTGGAATGTCCCCCCCACACACTGTGGCCCAGACTGGAGTATGTGTGGTGAGCTGTTCTCTTATTCCTGCCTCAGTTCCCCCTCTTCTAGTTGGACTTCCCCTGCCTCCACCCCCTTGAGGGGCAGCAATGGCATTCCGTGACTCTTCCATCCAGCCCCCCATCTTGAGGTGGGCCACTCTTTTGGTATCCCCCACCCCTGGATCTGTGCAGTGCCCCGTCTGGGGCTGATCAGGCTTTGGGGGGACAGGCCTTGGGCAGAAAGTGCTGGAGCTGATGGAACTGGGGGAGTGGGAACAGGGGTGATTGGACTTGGGGGGAAGGGGCCTTGGGTCAGATATTGGGGGGAAAGGGATTGGAGGAATGGGGAGGGGATGATGGGATGGAGAGCAGGGAGAGAGGTGATGGGATGGAAAACTGGGGGACAAAGGATGGGGGGGATTAGGATGGGGGGGCAGAGAGGGAGCAACTGGATGAGGGGGAAGGGAGCCCAAAGGCCCTCTCTTCAGTGCCACATGAGGGGGCAGCCTGGTGTCCGTGGCCAGTAAGCCCTGAGTTCCCCTCACCTTGGCAGCACGGTCAGCCCCCCCATAGCGGGTGATGGCGATGGTGCCATTCAGGTTGATGCCCAGGTTGACCAGCTCCTGGTAATCACTGCGCTTGCCCTGGTTGGCATAGACCAGCCTCCCCTGAGGGGAGAAGAGAGGAGTCAGCCCCAGGGCGCTGCGGGAGAGAGGATCAGAGGGGCTGGGGGAGACGGGGGGGCAAGATAAAGTTGTCATGGGGTCAGGGTCCACTTGGGTCTTTGATGTGAGAGCAGCCATTTGTTTCCATGGGTACATGCCTGTCACTTTGGTGATGGGGGCTGAGGGGAGGCTGTTTGTCTCCAGGAATACGTGGCTGTTGGCACAGCAATGTGTTAGGGGTGTTTATCCCTCAGGATATGTGGCTGTTGGCATGATGACATGTGGGGGTGGCTGTTTATCTCTGGGGGTACGTGGCTGTTGGCAGGATGATATGTGGCGCTCGCTGTTTATCTCTGGGATTGTGTGGCTGTCGGCAGGGCAATATGTCTGCCTGGCTCCGTGGTCATCAGCATGGGGATGTGGGGGGCAGCTTGGAATACACGGCTGTTGCTACCACAGCCTGAGGGCAGTCATTCAGGATACCCCACCTGTTGGAGTGACAACCCATGTAGTGCTCGCTGTTTGTCTCTGGGGATACGTGGCTGTCTTGTGGTGACATTTGGGGTGACTATCTCCATGGACACGTGGCTGTTGGCAAGGCGACCTGTCTGGGTGGCTGTTTATATCTGGAGAGATGTGGCATGACAACCTGTGTGGCTGGCTGGGGATAAGTGGCTGTTGGCTCGGTGACAGCTGTTTGTGGCTATATGAGGACCAGGGCAGGGCAGGGCAGGGAATTGACTGTCTCCATAGATACGTAGTGGTTGGCATGTCACCCTAGGGACAGAGATCTCCTAGCAGCCTTGATGGGCTCATAAAAGAAGGGACATGGTCCTGATTGGGAGAGGAGATAAGATAACTCGCTGACAGCCCCTGGGTGCAGTGGGAGGGTCTGAGCTGAGGCCACGAGGAGGTCTCGAGGGGTTATACCCAGCCCTGCTCCATACCCTGGGGTTCCCAGGGGGGGCGTAGGCAGCATAGGGCTGAACCACATCTGCATGGGCCTGGTCCGCTGTCACTTCCTTCTCGCTGCGCCGGGTTGAGAAGATCTGGTTGCTGTTCTCCACTGGGGGTGGAGGCAGATCTCGTCAGTGTGGGGTGCCTGCTGTGGGACATCCCGTTCTGACCTTTGCCCCCATCTGCCTCATCTCTCCCTGCCCCTCTCTGCCCTTGTCTGTCCCCAGTCCTGTCACTCCAGCTCCCTGTCCTCCGCTGCTTTAATTCCCCCCACCCCGGCCTCCTGGCCTGTCCCCTGCCCCATTCTCCCTCTTAGACCTGCCCCAGTCCCTGCTGCCTGTCCCTTCTCTAGCCCCAGCTGCCTCAGGGCCTGTCTAGCACCCCACAAGCCCCTGTGCCCAGCTGCCCCAGTGTCCCCCTCACCCCTGCACCCATTTGCCCTGTCTCCCAGTTTCTCCTGCCCTCCTTCCACCACTCCAGCCCTCCCTCCAGTACCCTGATCCCACCACTACAACCCTGTGCCCTGCACACACACACCCAGCCCTCACTTGCCCACACACCCACGGCCACGCTGTTGGGTCTCTGTGGGTCAGGGAAGGACAGGAATGCGCCATACACGTCCTCGCTGGTGCTGTCCAGACCAATCTGCGGGTCCTGCCAGCGGCTCAGCAGCAGCTTCACAAGCTCCTCATCCCCCTTAGTTGTAGCCATGTGGGGCTGGGAGGCCAGGGTCCTGGTGAAGGGTACAGGGGAGTGCCTGAGATCACAGCTCCCTCAGGACTGCAGGTTCTGGTGGGGGATAGAACCCAGGAGTCCTGACTCCCAGCTCCTCCCTCCACCCCCACTGTAACCACTAAACACCCCTCCTCTCCCAGAACTGGGGCTACAAGCTAGGGATACAGGGCCTCTCCCTCGATGGGGCACTGGTTCCAATCTGGCCACAGGTTGAGAGGAGGCTGGCTGGCCCAAGGAGGGACTAGACTGTATGGGACAATCCTGTCCTATCCCCCAGGGGATGGGGTGGGGCAGGGGATAGATTATAGGGGATGATCCCATCCCCCTGGGTGGGAATAGGCTGTAAGGGATGATCCTGCCTTGCAGCCCAGGAGTCCTGGATCTCCTGAATATGGGTGAATTCAATGGGGCTTTTTCATCGCTCCTCCCCTCCTTACTTCAGATTCTCCCGGATCTTCCCGCTTTCCACCTGATCCATGAAGCTCTGCAGCAGGGATTCATTCAGATCCCGGCCCACGGTCTGCACCCAGTTAGGCATCCCCTGGCTGGGTGCCCCCTGGCCATTCCCCGCTTTGGGGATGGCGAAGTGGCCCAACAGAATTCCGACCGTCAGCAGCAGGGCCCCCACGATCACGACCCCTAGGATCTTCAGCCAGCTCATCCCACAGCCTGCCATGGGCTCCAGCCTCTTCCTGGGGGTGAGGTGTGTGTGGTGGGCCCTTTATAGCAGATGGGTCCCCACACCCTCTGGATCAACCCATGCCTCTGATACTGTCACCAGGGCTCATGGGGTTACTCATTAGCTCCCAGATCCAGCCTGGCAGCCTTATCTCCCTCCCCACACAATACTCCTAATTCATGGCACTGAGGGATGCACTTTGGACACCAGGGACTGGCCCATAAAGCTGGTGTTCCATAAATGGGAATCAGGAAACAGATGGAAAGGCAGTTGGTTCCATTCCCCACCCCCATTGGAAAGGGCATTGGTGGGTTGAGAGCTTCCCAAGGGGAGACAGGACTCCTGGGTTCTATACTCAGCTCTGAGAAGGGCGTGCAGTCTTGTGGGTTCAAGTTGGGGGTGTGTGCTGGGAGTCAGGACTCTGGGTCATACATGTGGTCCTGGGGAAGAAGTGGAGTATTTTGTCTAGAGCAGGGAGTTGGGGCTGGACTCCTGAGTTCGATCCCTGGCTCTGGGAAGGGAGACATTTGATAGTTAGAGCAGGGAGACTGGCAGATAGATAGATCTCCTCTTTCAGACGGGCAAATGGAACCCAGGCATCCTGGCTCCCAGCCTCCCACCCTAACCCACTTGACTCCATGCCCCTCCCAGAGCTGGGGACAGAACCTGCATCTCAACACTAGTTGAGGGAATCTCTCTATAAGCATCCCCGTGTCCCACCCTGGAGACAGCTTCATCTCGGCGCCGGGTGACTCTTCCCCGTGTGCCGGCCCAGCTCCGTGGGCTAAAATCAAACACCCGTTGGCCTTCGGAGTTTATTCCTTTAACGTTGGTGCCTGTAATTTTAATTAAAAGGGGTCGGGTCATGCTAGTGGCTCGGTCCAGGAGCCTGTATACAGTGGGATGGGGAGGTGGGGGTGGATCAGATCACAGTCAACAAGGTAAATGCAAGTTTATGCAGGTGGGGCTGGAGGGGAGAGCAGCAAGGTGGGGTGCAGCCATAGGGGTCAGCCCAGGATTGATGCTGCTGGCCCCACATGGATTTGTGGGATTCCCTCCTACTTTCCTTTATCTGTGTCCCCCTCCCTTTCTATCTGGGTCTGCCTGTCAGTCCCCATCCCATTCCCCCACCATCTCTGGCTCTGTCTGTCCATCTCCTACCCCATCCCTCTGGGTCTCTTTCTCTATCTGTTTCTTCTCATTTCTCTGGGCTGTCTGTCTGTCCTCTCCCCACAGATCTCTCTGGGTCAACGTGTCCCCCCGCCCCCCCGTTCTGTCTGTCTCCCAGGCAGTCTGTAGCAAACCCAGACTACAGTTCCCTATGCTCAGTGGGGTGCTCCTGATCCCCTGGGCTCCTTGCTGTGGTGAGGGGTAGACAGTGAAGTGGTAGAGAGCAGCAGGGGGTAGACAATGAAGTGGCTGTGGGGTGGGGGTCTCATCTGCCTATGGGCCCCCTTACAGCAGTGTGGAGTCCATCACCACATCCCCACACTCCTGCTCCCTTTGCAACACCTTCTCGCCCTTGGCCCGGGGCAGGGACCCCCCTCTGTGCTGGGGCTGGTGCAGCTGGGGCTGGTGCAGCTGGGGCTGCTCTTTGCCCGGGCTCTGGAAGTCCCAGTAGTAGTGGATCTGGCGCTGGTGCTCCTTGGCTTGGCCCATCTCGCTCCTGTCCTGATAGCCCCCTCCACTCGCCTTCGCCGGCTCCTTCTCCAGGTGTTGGTGCTGCCTCAGCAGGCTGTCTAGGATCCTCTGAGCTGACTGGTAATCCAGAGACACCCCTGGCTCCTTCTCCCCAAGGCCCTGGCTCCAGGCCTCATCCCCATCAGAGCTGTCGGTGCTGCTGAGCTCCGGCACTGGCACTAGTTCCAGCTGCCCACCGAGCAGCAGGCCCTGCGGGGATGGAGGGCGCAGGGCATCAGTGGGCGGGAGGGTGGGCCCGGAGGGAGCCACCAGCGCCTCCTGCCTCAGGTAGAGGAAGTGCGGCATGGGGAGAGTGTGGATCTGGGCCCCTTCCTCCGCACTGCACTCACTCTCTGTTGAGTTGACGTGCTCCAGCAGCTCCCCAGGCCGCTGCTGCTTCCACGGCATGAAGGCCGTGGTTCTCCCGTGGCTTTCCAGCTGCCCCAGGGGTGGGAGGCTGTGGTAGTTGGGCGCCAGAGTCCTGTCTCCGTTGGGCGTGGCTGTGTCCGACTCGGAGCTGCAGCCCGGCTTGTTGGCCTCTGTGGCCGAGTCAGACTGGCTGGGGGTGGTGGTGGTGGTGGTGTGGGCGTCGGAGGCACTGTCCATGAAGGCGGGAGGGGGCGCCACATCAGAGATGTGCAGGGAGTAGAGGCTGTCGGCGGAATTGGCCTTCTCCATGTGACGGTGCTTCCCCGCTGATTCTGACAGCAGCGCCGAGATCTGCGGGGACAGGGGAGGGGATGTCACACCAGCCTAGCGCGGCCGTGCCCAGTGCAATGAGACAGAGGGGCCAGTGGTGGTTTAAAGCCCGATATCTCCTTAACTGCGAGTGCTGTATCTGAATGCTTTGTACCCTCAGCTTTTCAGTGGTGTCAGCCATTTATTTCGAGCTCTACGGTTGCTGAGCCCTTGGATTTTTCAATCCCGTCAGTCTGATTACCCTCTGGAATTCTGGTGTGAGTTTAGCAGCCTCAAAAACTGCTAAAGCTTGCAGCCGTCGCTGTTTAAGGTGCAGTATCTCCTCAAGTCTTCAAGCTAATAACGCAAGACTTGCCCTGATGGAAAGCTGGGATTTTGTGTAACCCTGAGGATTGTCAAGCTATTGGCTCCCCCAGCCACATCATTCTGATTACCTTTGAGCTTGTTTCCCTGAGGCCACAGAAGTTTGAAAGGGTCGCAAAGTGCTAGGGCTGGTGGCAGACTGAGTTTCCGTATCTCTGACATCGTGGGGGTTAGACCTGGTCTCTCTGTGCCATTAGAAAGCTGAGTCCCAGCTTTCCAGAGATACACGGCACTAATTCCTCACCTCTTGGGCTTTAAAAATACATGGCTGCCACTGGCTCCGGAATCTAGCGACATTTCCTTGGTACTGGGTTTTTGACTTCACAGCTGGAAGCATTTCCCACTCCTTCCCAGCACCACCTCTGCCTGCCCCCTCCCCATAGCGCACATTTCACCCCCTCCACCAGGAACACTCCCCGTGCTCCCCCAGTCTGTGCTCTCCAGGCCGCCCACCACCCCTGAGCTCACATTGAGTCTCTCCAGCGTGCAGATGGTGTTCTGGGCACTAATAAGCCTCTCGAGCAGCTCAGTAATGCGCTGATTCAGGGTTTGTCTCTCAGCTGCCATACTCTGAGCCTGCGGGGAGAGGGGGACAGCAAAGGGCTCAGGACCACAGGCGCCAACTCCGTGGGTGCTCCGGGGCTGGAGCTAATTAGTGGGTGCTCTGCACCCACCGGGAGCCCAAGCTCCCCGCCTGACCTCACCTCCTTTTCCGCCTCGTCCCCACTCCTCCGCCTACCTCCCAGTGCTTGCCGCCACCAGACAGCTGTTTGGTGGGGTAGCAAGCTCCGGGAGGGAGGGGGGAGGAGTGGGAACATGGCGTGCTCAGGGGAGGAGGCAGGGCTGGGGCGGGGATTTGGGGAATGAGTCGGAATAGGGGCAGAGTTGGGGGAGGGACTTTGGGGAAGGGGTTGGAATGGGGCAGGGCAGAGGCAGGAGGGGCCGGGGGCAGAGGGAGGTTGAGCACCCACCGGCATGAGTAGAAGTCGGCGCCTATGCTTAGGACAGCAAGACGAGAGGGTCAGGGGAAGAATGGCCTAGTGCTTGAGGGAGGCTGGAAGTTGGGATGCCTGGGCCCCCAGTGTTGAGATGCAGCCACCTCTGGGGTCGGGCATGGGGGTGGTTTAACATCTGCACAACAATGTTGGACAGCATTTGAAGATAGGACATGTAGGATGATCCCGTGTCTGATTGAAACTGCCAGGCAGGGAGCAATTTTTAAGGCCATGAAATGGTTTTGGATTTGGCTGGGATACCTGGGTTAATATCCAAACCTCTGTGCAAATTGTCAGGGCAGCTGTATACCGCAATGGGGGGTGGAGAAGGGGAGAGAGACTTGGCCTCATGTCTCATCAGAACTATGGGAGAGATTGTGGGGTGGAAAAATTGGACCCCAAGTCCCTCGGGAGTGTAGCTACACATTGCACTTAATGTATGGATTAGAGGCTCGGATACCGTGGTGATGGGCCCAGTATAAGAGCCTGCATTGAATGAGGTAGTGGGTTGTTCCCTGTCTGGGCAGCTGAGTGTCCAGGGTACATGGATCTGATCATGGGGTTGCTCCCTTTCAATGGGGGGGGTTTGTAAGCCCAAATCTGGGGCTACTTCCTGCCAGCAATGAAGCTGCCCTTACAATGAGGTGAAGTTTCTCCTCCAGCAGCTGGTTGGTGCGTTGGGTGTTGGAATAGTCCTCCTGCAGCCTGGGGGGAAACAGACAAGAGATTGAGACTGTCTTGAAAACCTCCCTACAGATGCAGGGATCTTTCACCTGGTGCTGAGATGGGGCGTGAGGGCTGTTCATACAGGAATCCCTCGTCCAGTGCTAAGATGCAGCCGCCTCTGGGGGGGAGGGCATGGGAGCTGTTTATATAATGAACTCTTGCCCAGCACTGAGATGCAGCCTGCTTTGGGTGGCACTGTGCTGGGGTTTTTGGGTCAGTGCTGATTGTGAGGGGAAAGCACCCCCTACTGAGTCCACACTCCACCCTCTGCAGGACTGTGGATTTTCTTTGGAGGTTTCCCATCCAAGTACTAATGAGACATAATTCTGCTTAGCTTGCGAGATCAATCTCGGGACCCGATTTTGCTGAGTGCCCGACAGAGGAGCACACAGACTAAGAACCCATGTGACTCAGTGTGTGATTGGTGGAGGCAGTGGGATACATTCCCAATCTCTACCGTCTCTCAATATAGACATAATTATTGTTAATGGGGGCTGGTCTCTTACAGGCTTCTGTGTT